TCTGAAGCTACAGAAGAAACCTCAGTTACTGATACAGTAACCACATCTAAAGCTACAGAAGAAACTTCAATTAATAATACAGTAACAACACCTAAAGCTACAGTAGAAACAGCTACCGATACAGTAACCACACCTGTAGCTACAGAAGAAACCTCAGTTACTAATGCAGTAACCGCATCTGAGGCTACAGAAGAAACCTTAGTTACTGATGCAGTAACCACACCTGAAGCTACAGAAGAAACCTCAGTTACTGATACAGTAACCACACCTGAAGCTACAGAAGAAACCTCAGTTACTGATACAGTAACAACATCTAAAGCTACAGAAGAAACTTCAAATACTGATACAGTAACCACACCTGAAGCTACAGAAGACACAGCTACTAATACAGTAACCACACCTGAAGCTACAGAAGAAACCTCAGTTACTGATGCAGAAACCACATCCGAAGCTATAGAAGAAACCTCAGTTATTGATGCATTAACCACATCTGAAGCTACAGAGGAAACTTCAATTACTGATACAGTAACAACACCTGAAGCTACAGAAGAAACTTTGGTTCCTGGTTCAGCAACATTACCTGAAGCAACAGAAGAAACATTAGTTACTGAAACAGTAACCACACCCGAAATTGCAAAAGAAACCCCAGTTACTAATACAGTAAACACACATGAAGCTACCAAAGAAATCACATTTACTGATACAGTAACCACACCTGAGGCTAGAGAAGAAACCTCAGTTACTGATACGGTAACCACACCTGAAGCTATAGAAGGAAACCCAGTTACTGATGCTGTAATACCGATTGAAACTACAAAACTATCTTTCCCTGCTCAGCAAGTTGATAGTCAAGGAGTTCTTAGGTTAGATCTTCAAGAGGTAATGTATCTTGCAACCATTGATTCTACTGACAGCAAGGTCATGAAATCAAATCAGATGTCCTTAGAAACATCTGAAAATTATAACTACAGCGACAGTACAATAGCTAGTGGCAGGTCAATGACCCAAGTTCATGAAAGTACACGTGACCTTCAGAGAAGCCCACCTTCATCATTCCTAGAGAAGATGCTAAATGATGACAAAGAATCCCAGACTGATCTTACGATGGAGATCATTAGTTCTCTTGAACAAGCCCATAAGCAAAGACTGTTGCCAACATCAGCAATGAATTTAGATATGCCACAGTCTTCACAATCTACAGATATTGTCAATGTAGCTCAGTCACATGAGAAACTGCAAGTATTGTTTGGTGAAATAGATGTGATCACTGGTAAACCAGAATGTGTGAAGAAAGAAAAATATCCAATATTTAAGCAGCCAGCTCCACAAGAGAATGTGATGTCTGAACAGTCAGCTCCACAAGAGAATATGATATCTGAACAGTCAACTCCACAAGAGAATGTGATATCTGAACAGTCAACTCCACAAGAGAATGTGATATCTGAACAGTCAACTCCACAAGAGAATGTGATATCTGAACAGTCAACTCCACAAGAGAATGTGATATTTGAAGAGCCAACTCCACAAGAGAATGTGATATCTGACCAGCCAGCTCCACAGGAGAATGTGATATCTGAAGAGCCAACTCCACAAGAGAATGTGATATCTGAAGAGCCAACTCCACAAGAGAATGTGATATCTGAACAGTCAACTCCACAAGACATTGTGATATTCGAAGAGCCAACTCCACAAAAAAATGTGATAGCTAAAAAAGACACCTTAGTTACTGATACAGTAGCCTTGTCTGTAACTATAGAAAGCACCTTATTAATTGATACAGTAAGCTCACCTAAAGCTACAGAAAACACCTCAGTTACCAACACAGTAATCTTGTCTGAAACTTCAGAAGTCACCCCGGTTACCAATGCAGTAACCTTACCTAATGCTAGAGAAGAAAACCCAGTTATTGATACAGTAACCTCACCCGAAGCTATGGAAGAAACCTCAGTTACTGATACAGTAACCTCACCAGCTATTGAAGAAAATTCCATTTTTTTGACTGACACTGACAACAAACTAAGTCAGACTGAACTAACTGTGGCAGATCTTGACTTGTTAATTCAATATCAGCAAAAAGAATTGTACCAACAGAAGGGAAAAGAAAACACAGAGAATCTTCTACACAGAGACATGAAGATTCTAGAAAGTTCATCAGAGCAAGAAAAACATTTATTAATGCTGTCCAAGGGGAACTACAGTACAATAGGTGAACTTGTAAATGGTGCTGATAAAATAAATTCTTATGAAATACCAGAGAAGCAACTTTCTGTAAATGAAAAAGGACCAGCTTTATCTCTTACTAAAGACACTGATGAAGATTTAACTGGAGCCAAGAGTTGGGAAGGACATGGGTTAGACATAACAGAAGAGGATGCCAACAACTCTCTGCTAAAGACAAATATAGGTAACTTTTCAGTAAATACATCACTCTCTGTGCAGACTCAGACTGGTGAGTTACGAAAGCAGAGCACAGCAACAGGCACCAGCAGTGAATGTTTGCTGATTGATGATTATAACAGATTTACTGATACACGTAATCATGATTCTGTGTCCACGCAGACGGAGGTAGATGTTGATGAGAAGCCACATGCACCTCCTGAAGAATCACTTGTAGTATTCTTCTCAGTACAATCCCAGACTGAAGGAGTAGATGAGCACATCATTTTTCCAGGTCCTGACTCTTCACATTCCTGTAGCAACACACACGCTGCTCACTCACAGACTGCACACGCTTTGATTGTTGTACATTCTCAGTCATTCAGTAGTGAACCTTCATATTCAGCACATCCAGAGATGGCTTCCATCTATACTCAAACTGATGACCTCAACATCGATGCTACTTCAACTCTAGCAGCTGAAGATTTGAAACAGGACATGTCTTCACAGGACATGTCTTCACAGGACATGTCTTCACAGGACATGTCTTCACAAAGTCCTAATCACGTTAGGACTCAGACTGATAACATTGATGTGAAACATGTTAGCATATCTGCAGAGAACATTGACAAAGATGATGAAGCATACATAATAAACAAACCACCTTCAAAAGCAACACAGACGGGCAAGCAGGCAACATCTTCAGATGTAATTGGTGAGGTGTCCATACATTCTTTATCAAGATCACATTCATTCTCAAAACAAACCCAGACAGAAAGTATTCAGAGAACATCGGATTGCAGTGAATCCCCTCAAATCTCACAGGCAGTGCAATCAGACATTGTAGTTTCACATGAAGCTACTCAGACAAATCAAGCTATTGGAAATCAACAAGAACAAAATCAGTATCCATCTGTGGGTTACCAAGAAGTGTATGGCAGCACAGTCAATCAGATACATGACACTGATGTTCTTGAAACAGGTCCAGCTGCAGAAAAGACTGACCTAGATGATACAGACTTTTCTAAGAAGAAGCTTCATAATGAAATCATCATCTCAGATTCCATTTATGAGGCTCATGAGGATGTTTCTGAAGAGCCAAGTCCCGAGGCACATGCATCAACAGGAGAAGTGCTGGCTGTAACACAAGAAGATGTGGAAAAACTGAGCACCTCTAAAACCAGTACAACCTACGTTTATGTTTCAGATGAAAATGTCACATTCCCCACAAGAACCCTAGAAGAATCTTTAGTATCTAGTGCAAGTGATGAACAGGCAGTAAGTAGTGTAGAGTCAGCAAAGTCACTTGAAGCTGTGACACCAACTTCTGCTTCACAGAGTCATGACCAAAATTTGTTCTCTCCGGACACAGCCGAGTTAGGAATCCCATCAATTTCTAGTGAGAAGCAGGCAACATCAGCCAAACAGACCATTGAGATTTCTGTGACAGATACAGAGTCAGTTTGTGCTGAAGGAGCAGTTTCATCTGATACAAATCGAGAGGAAGACATGGAACTTGGAAGCTCCAGTTCAGACAACCTTTTGCCAATAACACCACCAAATACACCAGTTTCAGAACATGCTATGGGTAAATTCTTCAGGACAGATTACTTAAGTCCTTCGAGGTATTCAGAAGAGGTACGAGCCAGACGTGCCAGTTTTCCTGCAAACCTGGATGCAGAGCTGTCAAATGTGTTTAAATCAGAGCCAGGACGAGAAAGAAAGTTCTCATTGCCATCAAGAAATTATGCCACTGGGTCTGACCACCAGAGGCAGTATCAGCAAGGGCCTTGTCCTGAAAGACAGCCATTGGAAATGGAGGCACAGTTGGCCCAACAACAAATATGTCAAGATGATCAGGAGCAGACAGAACAAACTGACCAGCAGAAGCCAGAACAAACCAATCAGGGGCAAAAAGAACAGACTGACAAGCAACAGACAGAACAGACTGATCAGCAACAGACAGAACAAACTGATCAGCAACAGACAGAACAAACTGATAAGCAACAGACAGAACAGACTGATCAGCAACAGACAGAACAGACTGATCAGCAACAGACAGAACAAACTGATCAGCAACAGACAGAACAAACTGATCAGCAACAGACAGAACAAACTAATCAGCAACAGACAGAACAAGCTGATCAGCAACAGACAGAACAGACTGATCAGCAACAGACAGAACAGACTGATCAGCAACAGACAGAACAAACTGATCAGCAACAGACAGAACAAACTGATCAGCAACAGACAGAACAAACTAATCAGCAACAGACAGAACAAGCTGATCAGCAACAGACAGAACAGACTGATCAGCAACAGACAGAACAAACTAATCAGCAACAGACAGAACAAACTGATCAGCAACAGACAGAACAGACTGATCAGCAACAGACAGAACAAACTGATCAGCAACAGACAGAACAAACTAATCAGCAACAGACAGAACAAGCTGATCAGCAACAGACAGAACAGACTGATCAGCAACAGACAGAACAAACTGATCAGCAACAGACAGAACAAACTGATCAGCAACAGACAGAACAAACTGATCAGCAACAGACAGAACAAACTGATCAGCAACAGACAGAACAAACTGATCAGCAACAGACAGAACAAGCTGATCAGCAACAGACAAAACAAACTACAAAAGAAATCTTATTTACAGATATAGTAACATTGCCTGAAACCAAAGAAGACACGCTGATGACTGCTACAGTAACCATACCTAAAACTACAGAAGAAACACCAGTTACTGAAACAGTAACCACACCTAAAACTACAGAAGAAACACCAGTTACTGAAACAGTAACCACACCTAAAGCTACAGAAGAAATCTCAGTTACTGATACAGTAACCACACCTAAAGCTACAGAAGAAATCTCAGTTACTGATACAGTAACCACACCTAAAGCTACAGAAGAAATCTCAGTTACTGATACAGTAACCACACCTAAAGCTACAGAAGAAATCTCAGTTACTGATACAGTAACCACACCTAAAGCTACAGAAGAAATCTCAGTTACTGATACAGTAACCACACCTGAAGCTACAGAAGAAATCTCAGTTACTGATACAGTAACCACACCTAAAGCTACAGAAGAAATCTCAGTTACTGATACAGTAACCACACCTGAAGCTACAGAAGAAACCTCAGTTACTGATACAGTAACCACACCTAAAGCTACAGAAGAAATCTCAGTTACTGATACAGTAACCACACCTAAAGCTACAGAAGAAATCTCAGTTACTGATACAGTAACCACACCTAAAGCTACAGAAGAAATCTCAGTTACTGATACAGTAACCACACCTAAAGCTACAGAAGAAATCTCAGTTACTGATACAGTAACCACACCTAAAGCTACAGAAGAAATCTCAGTTACTGATACAGTAACCACACCTAAAGCTACAGAAGAAATCTCAGTTACTGATACAGTAACAACACCTGAAGCTACAGAAGAAACCACAGTTACTGATGCAGTAACCACATCTAAAGCTACAGAAGAAACCCCAGTTACTGATGCAGTAAGCACACCAGAAGCTACAGAAGAAATCTCAGTTACTGATACAGAAACCATGCCTAAAGCTCCAGAAGAAACCCCAGTTACTCATACAGTAAGCACACCAGAAGCTACAGAAGAAACATCAGTTACTGATACAGAAAGTGCACCTCGGGTTACAGAAGAAACTTCAGTTACTGATACAGTAACCACATTTGAAGCTTCTACTGATACAGTAACTACACCTGAAGCTCCAGAAGAAACTTTAGTTACAGATAAAGAAACCAAACCTGAAGCTTTTACTGATACAGTAACCACATCTGAAGCTACAGAAGAAATTTCAGTTGCCGAAGTGGTAACATTACCCGAGGATACAGAAGAAATCTCATTTGCTGATACAGTAACTACAGTTAAAGCTGCAGAAGATATCTTAGTTACAAATACAGTAATAACACCAGAATCTACAAAAGATACAGCACCAAAACCTGAAGCTATGGAAGACACATCAACAGTAACCATTTCTGAAGCTACAGAAGAGATTACAGTTACTGATATAGTAACTACAAATAAATCTACAGAAGAAACATCAGTTACTGATACAGTAACCACTCCTGAACATATTACTGATGATATAGTAACACCACCTAAAGCTACAGAAGAAACATCAGTTGCTGATACAGTAACCACACCTGAAGCTGGAGAAGAAAGATCAGTTACTGATACAGTAACCACACCTGAAGCTGGAGAAGAAAGATCAGTTACTGATACAGTAACCACACATGAAGCTGGAGAAGAAAGATCAGTTACTGATACAGTAACCACACCTGAAGCTGGAGAAGAAAGACCAGTTACTGATACAGTAACCACACCTGAAGCTGGAGAAGAAAGATCAGTTACTGATACATTAACCACACCTGAAACTTTTATTGATACAGTACTCAGACCTGAAGCTACAGAAGAAATATCAGTTACTGATACAGTAACTGCACCTGAAGCTACAGAAGAAACCACAGTTACTGATACAGTAACTATACCTGAAGCTACAGAAGAAATCTCATTTACTAATATAGTAACTACAGCTGAAACTACAGAAGAAGGCCAGCAGCACACAGAACAAGGTGATCAGCAACAGATAAAACAAAATGACCAGAAACAGAGAGAACAGACTGATCACCACCAGACGGAAGAGACAGAACAGAGTGACCAGCAACTGACAGAACACTTTTACCAGGATCTGACTGAACAACACAGCAAAGAACAGACTGTACCAAATAATAAGCAACACCTATCAGTAAATGAACTTAAACAATATTCTGACTATAGGACAACAGAAGATCACCAAAAGCAAATTAGAGAAAAGGATGCCTTCCATGGGAAGCCAAGCTCGCCTGCATCAGTCAACAATAATGTGTCAGATACTCTTGGTCAGTCTGTTTTGCAAGACACAAGTCCAGACCACTTCTCTGAAAGTGGGCATCAGAAGTCTCAAGTTGGAAATAAAAGACCTGAAGAACTTGTCACTGCCATCAGAGATGAAGACAGAAGAGAGTTACAGAACCTGGTGTCTGTTGCTACGAGTCATGAGCCAGCACAGGAAGTGAGAAGGCGACACTTTGATCCCTATACCATGAACAGAGGTAGCATATTGAGAGCATCTCTCGAGGACAGTCCTTTTGATGACAACCTGCATACTGAAGATGCTGCAAGTGAATACCATGGAGCAACAGCAAGGGAAGCATGGGAAAATATGAGCATTCATTACTTCAGTGATAGAGAGCAGCACCGTAGAAGAATGGGGCTGAGAGAGAGAACACTACAAAGAGACGAGTTCAGTAGTGACCAGACTGATCTGTCAGTGAAAGAAGCAGAAGTTAGCTGTGGATCAGAGCAAGTTAGCTCTCCTAATTTCTTGGACAACCAATCATTGCACGGAGACTGTCTTCCATTTGATAACCGATTTGATCAAGAATCTGCTGCAGTGTCTCAAGGACTGACAAGGTACCTGCGGCAGCACTCCATCAATTCCCCTCTGAGGGCTACTGTCTTTGACAGCCCATTTACAGGACAAAGTTCCGTATCTGAAAGATTAGTTTATCCCATAGAAGGCCTGAGGACTGGTGATTCAGTTCTGCTAACATTGAAAGACTTTTCTCAGCAGATGGAGATCGGTTCAGTACTGTCCAGTTTAACTTTGGCAGATTTATTGAGTACAGGTGACACACACAGAGACGAATGTGTTCCTCAGTTTGGTGATTCACTGGAAAATTTAGGAAAAGACCAGCAGAAGACAATACAAAATATACAGACTGAAGAGCAACAAACAGTTCATAAGGATCAAGAAAGAAATGTTGAGCACAAGTCACCAGAGAATGACACACACAGAGACGAATGTGTTCCTCAGTTTGGTGATTCACTGGAAAATTTAGGAAAAGACCAGCAGAAGACAATACAAAATATACAGACTGAAGAGCAACAAACAGTTCACAAGGATCAAGAAAGAAATGTTGAGCACAAGTCACCAGAGAATGATCAGCATCACAAACTTTCAGATCATAAAATGGCAGACGATAGTGAAAATAAACTGAACCTTCAAGCACTTGTCAATGCCACTAGTGATGAAGACAGAAGAGAGTTACAGAACCTGGTTTCTGTTGCTACTAGTCATGAGCCAGCACAGGAAGTGAGAAGGCAACACTTTGATCCCTATACCATGAACAGAGGTAGCATATTGAGAGCATCTCTTGAGGACAGCCCTTTTGAGGACAGCTTGTATACTGAAGATGCTGCAAGTGAATACCATGGAGCAACAGCAAGGGAAGCATGGGAAAATATGAGCATTCATTCCTTCATTGATAGAGAGCAGCACCGTAGAAAAATGGGGCTGAGAGAGAGAACACCAGGAAGAGACAATGAGCTCAGTAGTGACCAGACTGATCTTTCAGTTAAAGAAGCAGAAGTTAGCTCTGGATCAGAGCAAGTTAGCTCTGCTAATTTCTTGGACAACCAATCATTGCACGGAGACTGTCTTCCATTTGATAACCGATTTGTTCAAGAATCTGCTGCAGTGTCTCAAGGACTGACAAGGTACCTGCGGAAGCACTCCATCAATTCACCTCTGAGGGCTACTGTCTTTGACAACCCATTTACAGGAGAAAGTTCAAAATCTGACAGATTAGTTTATCCCATAGAAGGCCTGAGGACTGGTGATTCGGTTGTAGTAACATTGAAAGACTTTTCTCAGCAGATGGGGATCAGGTCAGTACTGTCCAGTTTAAATTCAGCGGATGTATTAAGCACATATGATGAGCACAGGGACACAGAAGAAACACCAGCTGGTGTTGATGCAAGAGATGTGTCCACACTACAGGGTCACGATTCCTTCCCCCATACAGCAACCGATGAGGAAAAGACAGTACCACATGATCAAGAACAGACAGTTCCAAGCAGCAATGAAAAGAAAGTTCAGAATGACCAAGGTATAACAAAACAAAAAGACCACCAAAAAGCTGTAGAAAGTAACCTACACACTGACCAGCCGTCTTGTAAACAAACTGACCAAGAAGCTGACCACAAAGCAGCAAGACAAAGTGACAAGAAATCAGAGGTAGAGTTGCCAGGAGAAAGAAATACACAGAATGTCTCCAAGCATGCTGACAGCAAAGATTTATCTCAAAACATCCAGCTGGAAGCATCTTTCAGAATAAAAACAACTGATAAAGATACACGATCGCCCAGTTCAGCTGCCAGGGATTCAGATAAAAGTGTGCCTAGTTCCAATGTGAGGGATTCAGACACTGGACAGGAAAAAGCATTGTTAGAAACTACTTCTGATAGATACACTGATAGTGAAAAACACGTTTTTGGAGATAACAAGAGAGCACAGCTGCATGCTGGTCTGCAGGGACAAGACTCTGTGCCAGCTGATGGCAGTAACATTCAGGACAACAGCATTCTAGCTACAAGTGTGGAGGAGAGCACTGACACATTCAGCATATTGACAACCACATCAGGTTATGACTCCTGTAATCAGAGCTTAGATTTACAGACAGACACATCCATAGATTCTGAGTCACTGAACTGGGTATCTGACAGAGAGGTCAAGAAGAGTCATGAATACGCAGCATGTGTGTCTGACATCCAAGAGGATGATACACATATAGCAATAGTCAGGGATGTCAGAGAAGATGATATACAAGTGGCTCCTGTGAGTGATGTTAGAAAAGATGATACACAAGTGGCTTTTGTCAGAGATGTTAGACAAGATGATACACAAGTGTCTCCTATCAGAGATGCAAGAGAAGATGATACACAAGTGTCTCCTGTCAGAGATGTAAGAGAAGATGATACACAAGTGTCTCCTGAAAGTGATGTCAGAGAAGATGATACACAAGTGTCTCCTATCAGAGATGTAAGAGAAGATGATACACAAGTGTCTCCTGGCAGTGATGTCAGAGAAGATGGTACACAAGTGTTTCCTGTCAGTGATGTCAGAGAAGATGATACACAAGTGTCTTCTGGCAGTGATATCAGAGAAGATGATACACAAGTGGCTCCTGTCAGAGATGCAAGAGAAGATGATACACAAGTGTCTCCTGTCAGAGATGTAAGAGAAGATGATACACAAGTGTCTCCTGAAAGTGATGTCAGAGAAGATGATACACAAGTGGCTCCTGTCAGAGATGTCAGAGAAGATGATACACAAGTGTCTTCTGGCAGTGATGTTAGAGAAGACAGTACACATTTGACAATTGACAGTGATGTCAGAGAAGATGATACACATGTGTCTCCCGAAAGTGATGTCAGAGAAGATGATACACAAGTAGCCCATGTCAGTGATATGAGAGAATTTGTAGTTGATGCAATAAGAGATGAAACACCTACAGTAACAGTTGATGAAGTTGTCAGAGATAAGATACCTGCAGTGATAGTTGATGAAGTAAGAGATGAGACATCTACAGTAACAGTTGATGAAGTAAGAGATGAGACACCTACAGCAACAGTTGATGAAGTAAGAGATGAGACACCTGCAGTAACAGTTGATGAAGTAAGAGATGAGACGCCTGCAGTAACAGTTGATGATGTCACAGATGAGACACCTGCAGTAACAGTTGATGAAGTAAGAGATGAGACACCTACAGTAACAGTTGATGAAGTAAGAGATGAGACACCTACAGTAACAGTTGATGAAGGAAGAGATGAGACATCTACAGTAACAGTTGATGAAGTAAGAGATAAGACACCTACAGTAACAGTTGATGATGTCACAGATGAGACACCTGCAGTAACAGTTGATGAAGTAAGAGATGAGACACCTGCAGTAACAGTTGATGAAGTAAGAGATGAGACACCTACAGTAACAGTTGATGAAGTAAGAGATGAGACACCTACAGTAACAGTTGATGAAGTCAGAGATGAGACACCTACAGTAACAGTTGATGAAGTTGTCAGAGATAAGATACCTACAGTAACAGTTGATGAAGTAAGAGATGAGACACCTACAGTAACAGTTGATGAAGTTGTCAGAGATAAGATACCTGCAGTAATAGTTGATGAAGTAAGAGATGAGACATCTACAGTAACAGTTGATGAAGATGTCAGAGATAAGATACCTGCAGTAACAGTTAATGAAGTAAGAGATGAGACACCTGCAGTAACAGTTGATGATGTCACAGATGAGACACCTGCAGTAACAGTTGATGAAGTAGGAGATGAGACACCTACAGTAACAGTCGATGAAGTAAGAGATGAGACACCAACAGTAACAGCTGATGAAGTAAGAGTTGAGACACCTGCAGTAACAGTTGATGAAGTAAGAGATGAGACACCTACAGTAACAGTTGATGAAGTAAGAGATGAGACACCTACAGTAACATTTGATGATGTCACAGATGAGACACCTGCAGTAACAGTTGATGATGTCACAGATGAGACACCTGCAGTAACAGTTAATGAAGTAAGAGATGAGACACCTGCAGTAACAGTTGACGAGGTCACAGATGAGACACCTGCAGTAACAGTTGATAAAGTAAGAGATGAGACACCTACAGTAACAGTTGATGATGTCACAAATGAGACACCTACAGTAACAGCTGATGAAGTAAGAGATAAGACACCTGCAGTAACAGTTGATGAAGTAAGAGATGAGACACCTACAGTAACAGTTGATGAAGTAAGAGATGAGACACCTACAGTAACAGTTGATGAAGTAAGAGATAAGACACCTACAGTAACAGTTGATGAAGTAAGAGATGAGACACCTGCAGTAACAGTTGATGAAGTAAGAGATGAGACACCTACAGCAACAGTTGATGAAGTAAGAGACGAGACACCTACAGTAACAGTTGATAAAGTAAGAGATGAGACACCTGCAGTAACAGTTGATGATGTCACAGATGAGGCACCTGCAGTAACAGTTGATAATGTCACAGATGAAACACCTACAGTAGCAGTTGATAATGTCACAGATGAGACACCTGCAGTAACAGTTGATGATGTCACAGATGAGACACCTGCATTAACAGTTAATGAAGTAAGAGATGAGACACCTACAGTAACAGTTGATGATGTCACATATGAGACACCTACAGTAGCAGTTGATGATGTCACAGATGAGACACCTGCAGTAACAGTTAATGAAGTAAGAGATGAGACACCTACAGTAACAGTTGATGATGTCCCAGATGAGACACCTGTAGTAACAGTTGATGAAGTAAAAGATGAGACACCTGCAGTAACAGTTGATGAAGTAAGAGATGAGACACCTGCAGTAACAATTAACGAAGTAAGAGATGAGACAGTAACAGTTGATGAAGTCAGAGATGAGACTCCTGTGGAAAGAGATGAGACATCTACAGTAAAATTTGATGAAATCAGAGATGAACACCTACAGTAACAGTTGATGAAGTCAGAAATGAGACTCCTGTGGAAAGAGATAAGACATCTGCAGGAGCAGTTGATGAAATCAGAGATGAGACATCTGCAGTAACAGTTGATGAAGCTAGAGATGAGATATGTGCAGTAACAGTTGATGAAATCAGAGATGAGACATCTGCAGTGGCAGTTGGTGAAATAAGAGATGAAACACCTGCAGTAACAGTTGATGAAGTCAGAGATGAGACACCTGCAAAAATCAGAGATGCGCCACCTACATTAACTGTTGATGAAGTCATCAGGGATGAGACAGCTACAGTAACGTTTGATAAAATCAGAGATGAAACAACTTCAGTAATAGTAGATGAAATCAGAGATGAGACACCTACAGTAACAATTGATGAAGTCAGAGCTGAGAAATCTGCAGTAACAGGTGATGAAGTCAGAGATGAGACACCTGCAGTAACAGTTGATGAAATCATAGATGAAACACCTGCAGTAACAATTGATGAAGTTAGAGATGAGACAGCTACTGAAACAGTTGATGAAATCAGAGATCTGACACCTACAGTCACAGTTGATGAAGACAGAGATGAGACACCTGCAGTAACAGTTGATGACATCAGAGATGAGACAACTGCAGTGGCAGTTGGTGAAATAACTGCAGTAACAGTTGATGAAGTCAGAGATGAGACACCTACAGTAACAGTTGATGAAATCAGAGATGAGACGGCTGCAAAAATCAAAGATGCGCCACCTACATTAACTGTTGATGAAGTCATCAGGGATGAGACAGCTACAGTAACGGTTGATAAAATCAGAGATGAAACAACTTCAGTAATAGTTGATGAAATCAGAGATGAGACAACTGCAGTGATAGATGGTGAAGTCAGAGATGAAACACCTACAGTAACAGTTGATGAAGTCAGAGATGAGACAGCTACTGAAACAGTTGATGAAATCAGAGATCTGACACCTACAGTCACAGTTGATGAAGACAGAGATGAGACACCTGCAGTAACAGATGATGAAATCAGAGATGAGACAACTACAGTAACAGTTGATGAAATCAGAGATGAGACAACTACAGTAACAGTTGATGAAATCAGAGATGAAGCACCTGCAGTAACAGTTGATGAAATCAGAGATGAAGCACCTGCAGTAACAGATGATGAAATCAGAGATGAGACAACTACAGTCACAGTTGATGAAGTCAGAGATGAGACACATACAGTAACAGTTGATGAAGTCAGAGATGAGACAACTACAGTAACAGATGATGAAATCAGAGATGAAACAACTACAGTAACAGTTAATGAAATCAGAGATGAGACACCTACAGTAACAGTCGATGAAGTCAGAGATGAGACACCTGCAGTAACAGTTGATGAAGTCAGAGATGAGACACCTGCAGTAACAGTTGATGACATCAGAGATGAGACACATACAGTAACAGTTGATGAAGTCAGAGATGAGACACATACAGTAACAGTTGATGAAGTCAGAGATGAAGCACATACAGTAACAGCTGATGAAGTCAGAGATGAGACACCTACAGTAACAGTTGATGAAGTCAGAGATGAGACACCTACAGTAACAGTTGATGAAGTCACAGATGAGACACATACAGTAACAGTTGATGAAGTCAGAGATAAGACAACTACAGTAACAGATGATGAAATCAGAGATGAGACAACTACAGTAACAGTTGATGAAATCAGAGATGATACACCTAGAGTAACAGTTGATGAAGTCAGAGATGAGACACCTGCAGCAACAGTTGATGAAGTCAGAGATGAGACACCTGCAGTAACAGTTGATGAAGTCAGAGATGAGACACCTGCAGTAACAGTTGATGAAGTCAGAGATGAGACACATACAGTAACAGTTGATGAAGTCAGAGATGAGACACCTACAGTAACAGTTGATGAAGTCAGAGATGAGACACATACAGTAACAGTTGATGAAGTCAGAGATGAAGCACATACAGTAACAGCTGATGAAGTCAGAGATGAGACACCTACAGTAACAGTTGATGAAGTCAGAGATGAGACACATACAGTAACAGTTGATGAAGTCAGAGATGAGACACATACAGTAACAGTTGATGAAGTCAGAGATGAAACACCTGCAGTAACAGTTGATGCAGTCAGAGATAAGACAACTACAGTAACAGCTGATGAAGTCAGAGATGAGACACCTACAGTAACAGTTGATGATGTCAGAAATGAGACACCTACAGTAACAGCTGATGAAGTCAGAAATGAGACAACTACAGTAACAGCT